ATGGCAATCATGAGTAATATCCCTCCATGTTTGAGTGATATAACATTATCTTCCTGAGTTAAGATCTCTAGTTCTGCCATTTTTTCCTTATACTGTGCATGATGTACAAACATGTGAGATTCTGAGTGCCACCATCCTCTTTTTGGTTTCAAATACATTTCAATTGTTAAGGTAGTTCATAGTTTACTCAAGGTCAAATAGATAACAGTCAAAGCATACAAAAAAGAGTTCTCTGATAGACACTTCCTGAGCTAGTTTCCTTTTAACAGGAACACACAGAAAATAGTTCAAAATCAGTCCAAAGTTCTAAAAAGCAGGCCAGGTTTGTCAGCCAGTCCAATGGTCAGAATTTCATGTGCAGACTCCATGCAAATGTCATCCAAGAGTCAGAAATCAGATAGTTATTTCCAGCAAAGGAACAGGGTCAGGGCTGCCTCTTAAATTAGGCTGCAGCCAGCTGTCACTAATCAAAAGGTTTATTCCCTTGCTTGGCAAGGAGACTTAAGGAACATCTTTACCCTGCTTTCCTCACTACTTGCTCAGCTTTACATCATCTTCATCTGATTGCTCCAGCTGTCCAGGTGATGCCTGTGTTTGATCAGCCTCAAGTGATTCTTGACTTGGTGTTTCCTAAGGCTGACATGTCATAGGTTCAACTGGAGCATCTTCCTCCAATTCAGAGTCTAGGATCTGGGCCTTGATACTCATGAAATAATACATCTATTATAGTTCTCATCCTGGCTTCCTGCTCCTCCCTGGCATTTTCTTCAGCTCGGTGTTTGACTGCATATTCAGTTCTGGGCTTTTGATTTAGTTACTCTATCCTGATAAGATTGCTGAAGCATCTACAGACAATGATGGCAGTATAATTATCAGTCTGGATTGTTTTCAACTTGAAGAAAAGATATTCCTGGAACTCAGGTATAGAATGGGAGAATGGAATCCTAAGGAAAGAATCTTGCAGGTTAGCCTTTGTGTGTAGTATTTTGTTACTACATGAAATAGGTGATGGTGGGAATCATTGCCATTTTTGCTAAATAACAGACCTACATCATCTTCTGATATATCAATCAACTTCAATTTAATCAAAGCTAGTCACCCAGGGATTATCAAACTGGTTGATGATATATCCTTTCCTTTTTCTACTTAAGTGGTGTTTAAATTTAATGCTTCAGAAAGCTTCCAGTTTGTTTGTTTTTTCATATCTATGATTATACTTTCCATATTTTGGATCTATCAGCCTCATGACCTTTTTCAAGTTTGTTGATATAGGATGCTGCTCTAATTTTCTTTGGTTAATGTTGTGGTTTTGGCTCTCCTAAAATTAAAGATGCACACCTAACTAAGCAGAGGCCATTGCCACTGCAATTAAACATTTCAAGAGAGCACTTGAACTTCATCAACCAATTGTTTTCAGTTACTCAGGGTTAAATCCAAGACATATGCTCCTCTTGTTCTGTTCTGCATGTTCTGAAAGAGGAAACTGGCAGCAAAGCAAACCATTTTTAACAGAGTTAGCCTTCCAGCAGATGTTAGGGTAATTGTAATCACTCATTATTACTGCAGCAGAAATTCAGAGGCACTAAACTCTTGTCCTAATCCCCATTCCAGAAGCCAACTCTTGTTCTTGAAATGTTGGCTCATACAACTGTGCTTGGCCTTCATCTGACTGGAACACTGAAGTTTCAACATTTCTTGATCTTGAAATTCTTGGTTTTGAAATTCTTTCACTCAGCCCTTACTTTTCCTAACAGAGAGGCAAGTGCCAAGCAAATCTAAGCCACCACATAAAAGGTTGAACAGCTAAATTTCTGGAAGGATATCTACTGAACCTTAGCAAGGCCAGAGAAGAACCTTTGGACCTGCAGGCCAAGGTTTTCCATCACTGTTGATTTACAACAAAATAAACTCAATATGACATTTTGCCTTTCTAATAATCTAGTAGACACAAAGCATAATTGGCATAAACTTGATATTGTGCATGAAATTAAATTCTTGAAAGACCAATTCACTAATTTCCAGTTACTCTGCCAATAACAGCAAATCTGTTCTCTTTCTCCTCTTTTCCAACAGGAAAATTCTTATTTTGCTATTCTCACTTTGAATTTTTTTATATATATTGGGAAAACTAGCTCATAAGGCCAGTTGCTATCTTAAGAACATTAGCCTTTAAGGGTAAGTTCTTAGTTTTGTTCAGACAAGACAAGTTAAGAAGTGCATGAGGAAATGTCTTTCTGAAAATGCAGTTTAGTCATGCTGTACTTTAATTTATTGGCTCAATCTGAAATTAGTTCTGCCCTGCCATTTACTCTATAAGATTGTGTGCTCCTAATATTCAGGAGCCTTGATTGTTGAGGAAAGAAACATCTGAAGTATAATTTCCAGTTGATTTTTAAAAATAGGAATAAATATATCTTTTCTCATAGACTTAGCATTTTATTTGATATGTACTTTTTAAAAATAATATACTGGATAAAGAATGAGATTTCATAGAAATTATTTGGAAGGTGAAAAGACAAAGGAATACAGGCTGTACTCAGAGCAAGCTTTTGTTTTCTTTTATAGCTTTCAAATTTCTTATTGAATGATTGTCTTATTACAGCTATAGAAAGAACCATGTTCTAAACTATACATCTATCTAAATTAGATTATCTAAATTAGATACATATATCTGAATTAGCTATCAATTCAAATGTACCTCGTTTCCCAGCATCTTCTATGTTCTCCTCTCTTCCCAGGGTCCTTGTGCTACCCCAGTATTCAACCCATCTTTCCAACAACTATTTCTGGTTGCTGTTGCCCTTTCTATTGATCTGCCCTGCATCTTCAATTGTGTGTTTTGTTCAATCTTATCCAGAATAACAAATACAGATGCAATTTAAAAATATATATCAACCAGCTCATTAAATAGTATATACTTACCAAAACCAGATATTCTTCTTCTACAGAGCTAAAGGCTGTTTTGTATACACATCATTTTATTAAAAATGAACCAATAGTGTGGAGCTACAGCAGACATTTCAATATGAGAGGTGCATAACTGCATGGTTTATAAAATGGCACTAAAGCTGCAGTGTTGCAACAAAGGGATGTTTATGACATGGGATAAGTTACAGAATTAGTCACCTGTTTAAAGAAGAATCTAAAGAAGGGGTGGGACAGGAGAAGCCTAAGCAGACTAAGGAGATGAAAATGACAAAACAACCAAGAGAAACATTAGCACTACTCTCTTATCACAAGGAAACAGCACTAGGTACTGTCCTCTGCAATTATCCCACCTAGAGATTTAATTGCCTCAATTGAGATTTAACTCCTCCCATATGACCAGTTGGAAAAAGAATTCAAACCTTTAATTTCTAAAAACTATACTAACCCTAATGCAAAATATATTCCTGGAAGAAGACACAAATGTGGACTTCTGAAATACATAATGTTCACATCTATTGCTTTAAGTACACCCTTTCCTACAACATTCAATGAGTGCAAAAAGGGCAGGATGCGGTCGTCTTAAATTGGTCTCATAAAATCCATAAGCATATTTTGCTCAGGGAGTAGATTGTTAAAATTGACTGGCTTGGAAGGAAGGAAAATGGATTGAGCAGGCTCTGAGTGGTAGATGAATGAATGGAGTAGAGAATGGGAAATCCTTTTTGTAAAAAAATAAAAAAAAATATGCAGAATGCTATCAGCAAACTGAAACAACAACTGGTTTTCTTGGCATAGGTTATGTTTATAATGGGGTCAAATATATTTAAAAGAAACCAAGGAAGAAGATTAATCTGAGAAAGTATTGGTAGATCTAATTGGACTGATGGGAAAATGTAGTAGAAAGGTAAGTAACAACACAGGGTGAATTATCACGAAGAGATAAACTACCAGAAAGCTGCAGCAATCAAAGAGATAGCCCTCACATCTAAAAATTACAGTGGCCTCCCTATTCATCAACACCTTCTATGAATGCCTTCTGACCAGCCCCTGCTCCCCTCCCAGAACAAAAGCACTCAGATTTATTTGGTGAAATTAAATCTTTATAGGAGGGACTTGCCTTGGGTTGCCATTCTTCACTTACCAGAATTAAAAGACATTCATTTTCTGCTGCTGGTCATAAATACAAAACTTCCAAAACTTTGAATTTGATAACCTCTCTTACTCATAAACACAAAGAGGCATCCAAATATGCTTTAAAATTTCTGTCAACTTTGATTTGCATTGTTGTCATCTTTGAGAATGATCTATGCTTTGCCCCTGCCCAAGAGCTGAGCTCTCTATTCTTCGTATCTGATATTATGAAACAGGATGTAAAATGATATGGCCGAAACTACTGTAGTGTTGAGCCACTTTTTATGTACAGAGAACTTTTTGAGGGCTCATCAACCAAATTCTGTGAACAATGAATATCTAAGAAGCAGACCAACGAAGCAGGAAAATTCTGCAGTGATTCGCTAATGGTTTTATAATTCAGTGCCTTCCATAACAAAAGAGAAGGATCTACTAAGTCAGGGGATAAAAGAGAAAGAAAAAAAAGAGTAACATAAAGAATGTGAAACTTATAAGTCAAACGAATGACATGATTATTTCCTATAGCAGAGGTGGCACATATAGTAAAAGTAAATGGATCCAATTATAAGAAAGAATAGTTAGGGTTGGGAAGTAATATATGCTTTATCCCACAGAGCGCTTTGGTTATGCACAACTTTGGAGAGCAGGAGGTGCTCACAAAGAAATTGTGAACAACCTTTAAAGCAGAGGTGTCTTCTCCCAGGACCAAGTAGCCATGCCCTGCAACTGCAACATGATCCTGGGAAAAGCCATATTTGGCTTGAATTTTAGACAGCAAGTGTTACACTCTATTTGCTTTCACCAACACGATACTTCTGAATGTGTTGGAGCCAAGACTCCAGGATACCCACACAACATATTACTGGAAATGAAGATACTAATGTAGGGAAGGGTGCACTATATTAATATTTTAACAGTTTCATATGGATAACATCACATCATTTATTTCATGTTATGTTTATTTATTCTCAAATGGAAGAAACAGGCTACATTTCTGAAATAACTGTAAAAACATTAAGAAAATGCCCCTGATTCTTCAAATTGTTGTCAAATAGCATTTATTTTAGAGGTCATTACTATTTGGAGTTCTGATTGTTGAAAGGGAAGATGGAGACCCGTTCCTGAAGTTGTTTTCGGATATTCTTCATAGAAATGATGACAACCGTTGACCAATTGCTATGGAAACCTTCTTTCAATTCAAAACATCCACAACTCGATTATACTAATGATGTCCGTATAAAAATCTTCAACAAGACGGCGTGGTAGAGTAAGCATAGGCATCATTTTTGGCCTTAAAAGGGTTAGCTTTTAAAATTTCTTACAAAATTGGTTGGAGAAGTAATGTTTAAACAAATTGCCCAGCTCTGGAATAGGCTTGACCAAACTTTCCAAACAGAGGAATTGATGGCAACACCGTTAAGAAATCCTAGAGGGGGGGAAAAAGATTGAAAATGTGTCAAAATTTAAATCAGCCTCCACCTTGAACTGAATACTTTTTCCCCTGTGCTTCTATGTGCACAAAAACATTACGACAAACTCAGCTTAATCATGGATATTCTGTTAGGACATTTTTCACATAAATAACTGCAATGTATTTATAGATCTGCAAACAATAATTGATGCCCAATAACTGAGAGGTCTAATTTATGTACAATAAAAAATAACTCATTGTTGTCCAAATATTTTATAATAATAATAAAAGGTAATCTGGCAAGACAGGCATGTCTGTGAGTATGACAGGACAGAACAATCTTTTTCTCCAATTATGTACAAGAAAAAATGAAAGATAATGTCTTTGTTTTGCACATCAGCAGACTTTCTACCCTGGGGCTCCAAATGAGTTTAGTTTTGGGCAGGTGAGCCTCTGGGAATGTTACTCATTGTCTTATTCTTCAAGCTGGAGAAGATGGTTTCTAATGTGGTACAGGAAAACCCAAAGGTAATTATCACTGGGGACTTCAATGACTCTATCTTGAAGGATGCGATTTGATATTATCACCACTATGCTGAAGACTCCATTTAGAATTATTTCCTTAACATAATGTTGTAAACATTGTGCAAAATCCAAAATAATGAATTTTAGAAACAAATAAGAGAAGTAGAAAATGTTTCTAATTCTTCCTTCTTCCCTGCCAGCCTCTGATTGGATTAACTGTAAAACATTATAAAAAATATTTACAATATTTAATTCATTACACTTCTATTAACTTACTTCTAAGTGAAAAGATAAAAGAAAAAGAATTGAGTAAAGTGACTGCTACAGGCTACTGAAGCTGATAAAGCTCTCTTTCCCTGATGCTTCAAAAAATATTTCTGATGAACCTCTTTGAAAATACAAACATTATAATGAAAATGTGCTTTGCCAGATTCTGGGGACTATAACAGATTCCCCCCTCCCCCCAAAAACCAGTTTATATTCAAAGAAAGCTAAAAACTGGGGACTGGTTTGTATTTGGATAATTAGGTTTTATTGGGGTAAACAAGGGGGAAGGGAAACATCAAATCACAATAAACTTGTTGGAAGTCACAAGGAGAATGTAATAAAAAAAACCAGCTGTCATTATTTTACTCTCAGTAAATCTCTGCTTCCGTCTCTCATCAGGTTAAAGCAAGAACTGCCATTTCTGACCCTAGAAATAAGCTCTGATTTGAGAGAGCAGACGGCTTTGGCTATTAGGATGACTTGCCAGACAATAACAACAACTGACTGCCAGAATTAGCTCCTTGGGACAATTTAGGTTCCTTTGAAGTGAATGGCTTTTTGAGCTGGAACTGAGCCCACGCCCAGCTCCAAATCCAAGTCAAAATGACAAAGAGGAAGTCTACTGTGTCATTCCAGTCCCTGAGCATAAGATTACTTTATGTTGGCAGCTGTACTGTTTATCTTGTTGTTTAAAAGCTATTTCACTACATGGTCACAGCTGAATATTTAAACTAGTGGATCTGGTCATGGGTTGCCTCTGACTATAGCAAGACAAGTCCCCATCAGTTCTTACAGTTGGCTATGTGATATTACATGGCTGTGTGATATTATGCTAATGTAAGAGTATATTAAAATGTGATTGCCTTCCTATTTTTCTAATTATTCAGAATATATAATAAATGTTGAAATTAATAACCAGATTTTGCAGGCTAGTTCATCCAAGCAAACTTGATGGATTCCCCAGTCACAAATTCAAATGAATTGTCTTAGATAAGACTCACTGATATTGCAATTTGCAAATAGCTTATTCCTATGTTTAAAATCACCTCTGAAATGTATATATATTTTAAAAAAGACGACTGTCATAAAACAGTTACAGAACTACTTCTTTACTGGGTCATTTTAAAAACAGGAATGGTCTTTTTTAGGAAAGGGGCTTAATCACAGGCTTTTTGTTAACCTTAAACTGTTTGATTTATTTATTTATTTATTCCTATCTATATTAAAGAAAGTTACAAGTCATTCTTTTTCCATTTTTTAAAATTTCTCTTTTTTTGCATTTTTATCTTTTTTCTTTCTTGATTGTTTTTCTTTTTCAAATTTGTTCTTGACTTTTATGTTATGTTTTTGAAAATCAAGTTATATATTTAAAAAGAGCTATATTAGGTGGGTAATGAAGTAAAGACATAGGGCCATATTACACATATAAATATATATGCTGATCTTATTGTATTCGGGTCTTTTCCTGTATAAGATTGAGATTGTCTTGGCAAGGTTTCGCCATCTTCAGGCTGGTGTTTTCAGCTTCGTGCTTGTGCGAGTAAAGCGTGGTCGTAGCTGCTGTATTTTTGCCCATTATGGACAAATCTGGATATACAAACAGATAGAAGGAGCACCCATGGCATCACCCCTCTCACCCGTCATCGCAAACTTATACATGGAACATTTTGAAACTTACACCTTAGATAAATCTGAACACAAATCCAAACTCTGGCTTAGAGATGTTGATGACACTTTTGTGATTTGGCCCCATGGGAAAGAAAAACTGGACAACTTCCTCACACATCTCAACAGCCTACACCCCAAAATACAATTCACTATGGAAATAGAAGCAAACAACCAACTTCCCTTTCTGGATGTCCTAATCTACAAAAAACCCAATGGCTCCCTAGGACACACCATCTACTGGAAAAAAACACACACCAACCACTACTTAAATGCACAATCCCATCACCATCCTGCACAGATCAACTCTGTAGCCAAGACCCTCATCTCCTGAACCAAACGCCTAACCGACAAAGACCACCTGAAAACTGAATTACACACTCCCACAAACATATTAATCTCCAACGAATTCCAAAGAAAAACAATTACCAACCTAATCCAAAGGGAGGCTCCCCCCAAGAACCGAGACACAGATCAGGACAACCACATCGCCCTCCTCCC